AAAAGATCATAAGATGAAGATTGACTCTACAAAGAGTTACCGCACTACACTTTAACGCCTGATGATTTCCTACAATACTAAATCTCAAGAGTTGATAGGCCGTTTACGACTTTTAAGTCATCAGACGCCTCCCCTCGAGGCGTCTTGTTATAAAAAAAAAATCACCAGAAAATAAAAAATCAACAAGTATTAACCAGCTACTGCGGTTGGAGCACTAAAGACTCACCAGATTCTCCACCCTATCTTTCTCCGAATTCACCAATAACCCTGATAACACTCGTCGCTAAGAATTCCATCGAATAATTCCAACAAAATCTCAAGAGCTACCTCTCAAATCTAGCCCCTTCGTGACTAATGGATCGTAAAAATAAATTGGCATTCCAACTCTCTTGAAACTCAGATAGCAATGTCATTTCAATTCCAGGGGAATGCTCTCGAAGAATTCAATGATTTTTTAACATCAAAAACTGAAGAGTTATTGAAAATAAAAAACAAGGGAAAAATTTATTTGAGAATTTACGCCTGACGTATTAAAAATTACTACTCTAATGGAGAGAAAATTGAGGGTGGGAATAAAAATGAAGATAAAAATATTGGAAAAAAATATAAATAATCTTCTCTGCCGAGATTAACGGATGGTGAAAGACTCCTGGTTCTAATCCACATCGTAAATCATCAAGAAGAACAAGCGATAAGAATTTTTTCCAACGTTCATCATGAAAATGTGTAAATATTATCTGAAATCCTTCAACCCACCCACCGATTCATGGATTACCGATTCCATTGATTACTCCTACGGTTATCCCTCACCCTTATCCCCGTGGTAACAGATACATTCACCTATGAATAATGCTGATGATGGTGATGGGATATGTCATATCGAATTACGTAATTCGAGTCCTGAATGGCATTACCATGGGGTAAGGATTTCAATCGGGATTTATTGTACGATACGGAATTGTCTTTACGGATGATGAGTTTCAGATATTTCATTCAGTCATCTCATTGATTATATATCCAACGGCGATCACATGATCCGCCTCATTTACTTTCATTTATACTCGAGACAATTTGAAATTAAATTATATCCTCACTTACGCCGAGGTAATACCTATTTTTTTTCCATCGAGCCTATTTTCAAAAAGCAATTTTGTCGTTACCTAACAAATCATAAAATCTTGTATGACTGCTATTGACAGGCTGTAACTAATTTTAATTTTCAAGTTAAGTATAGGATGCAAATGTTATTAATGGTTTTTGCAAATTGCGGTTGACCACCGAGTTTTCCGTTAAAATGTCGACAATGGATGGGGATGAGGGAATAAGACTACTGAGAGGATTTTAAGAGATGAAGAAATCGGAAAATCATTTAACAACGAATTTTTCAAAATAATTTCGCAACCGTCAATTTAAAAAAAAATGAAAAAATTAAAAATCGCTGCACGAGGGCCAATTCTTCTTCATTTCGAATCTACGGTTGATACGCAACTCAGATCTGTTCACTTCTCCCGGGAATTCCCATTATTACGAGAGTGGTGAATTTTTTTCGAAAATTTTTCAAGCGAAAATTTTTCAAAAAATGAAAAAATTAAAAATCGCTGCACGAGGGCCAATTCTTCTTCATTT